GGACAAAGTTATTATTGTAGGAGATTTTAATATTCATGTGGATGTTGAGAATGACAGCTTTAGTACTGCGTTTATCTCTTTGTTAGATTCCATCGGCTCCTCTTAGAGTGTTCATGAACCGACTCACTGTTTTAACCACACCCTCGACCTTGTTTTGGTGTATGGTATTGAAATTGAACATTTAGTGGTGTTCCCACAGAATCCCTCTTTATCCGACCACTGTTTGATAACTTTTGAGTTTGTATTGCTGAACTAATCGCCATTGGTCAAAAATTTCTATACAAGATGTCTGTCTGATAGTGCCATAGCTAAATTTAAGGATGCGATTCCATCAGCTCTAAATACATTATCTAGTCACAAAGTAACGGAGGACTCCTATGCTAATTTCAGTCCCTCCCAAATCGATCATCTTGTTGATAGTGCTGCAGGCTCGCTGCGAATGACACTCGACTCTGTAGCCCCTCTAAAAAAGAAAATACTAAAACAAAGACGGTTAGCTCCATGGTATAATACTGAAACTCGCAAATTAAAGCAAATATCACGGAAACTTGAGAGGAATTGGCGTTCCACCAAACTGGAAAATTCTCGTTTAATTTGGCAAGATAGTCTTAAAACTTATAGGAAGGCCCTCCGTAATGCTAGAGCAGCGTACTACTCGTCATTAATAGTGGAAAATAGGAAAAACACCAGGTTTCTTTTCAGCACTGTAGCCAGGCTGACAGAGAGTCACAGCTCTATTGAGCCAAGTATTCCCATAGCTCTCAGTAGTTACGATTCCATGAGCTTCTTTAATGATAAAATTCTAGCTATTAGAGACAAAATTCACCAAGACCTGCCCTCAATTGGCACCGACTTATCTCTTAACTCAGGAAACTAAATCAACAATAAACACAGTTAAAACAGACAAAAAACAACAACTATTAAACTACTTTACCAGCCTTCTATGGTAGCAGAAACGCATATTAAACTTACATCCTGAACTGAGATTAAATTTTTGTTTTTTTATTAAATTATTGTACTGACCCCTGCACACAAGGCTTTCCTGAAATATTTGATCAGTATTTTCCTACTAACACTTTTACTGATTTAAGGGGCATAACCTTAACATTATTTATACATTGTATTTTCTTTTTTTCTTCTGTGCAGATTGACAGCAACGTTGTCGCGCTGATGGATGATGCAGCGCTGGCAAATTACATCCCCTCCTATGGAGACCGAATTGCCCTCTTCAATTTCTGCAAAAGTCTCCTCTCAAAATGACTGGATAGATTACATCAGTTCTGCTGCTCACAACAATGCCAGCAATGTCAGATTTGGATGATCATATCAAACTGTACTTCAGACTTTTTTTCAGTAATAAAGAAATACTTGCTATTTTAGCACATAACAATCAGACAGTAATAAGTGTCCGAACTTTAAAGAGAATTTGTAAAAGACTTGGTCTGTTCAGGAGGAAGAATCAGTCTGACTTGGAGCAAGTGCTGGCTTTTGTCCAACATGAAATCATGACCAATGGTCAGATGCAGGGTTATCGGTGGCTACATCTTCGTGCAGTTCAACGGGGATTTGTTGTGTCACAAGATACCATAAGACGCATCATCAAACTGGTTGATCCGCAAGGTGTGGAATTAAGACGAGCACGACGCTTGAGAAGACGTCAGTACAGCTGCAGAGGGCCAAATGCGCTGTGGCACATGGATGGCTATGACAAATTAAAGCCCTATGGCATTGCCATCAATGGCTGTATAGATGGTTTTAGTCGCTATGTGTTATGGATGGAGGCCTATACTACGAACAGCGATCCTAAAGTAGTTGCAAGTTACTTCATCAAAACAGTTTCATACATAAGTGGATGTCCAGAGAAAAATATTTTTCCTCACCAAAATAAATATCTTAATAGAAATGCCTCATGAAATGATTCAGTAATAAAAGTAGTATTGTAGTAGTAATAATAATACAATAGTGTTGAACTATAATAATCATAATAATTATCATAATCTAAATAGGAAACGTCAAGGTGCACTACAAGCGGGGCAGCATGCATCTTATGGATTGTTTGAAATACTGGGGAGCCAGCTCCCCTGAAAGACCAGAGACTCCTCTTAAAGCAATACAAGTATACATTTGGGTGGTTTGCTAAAATAGCCATCATCTTAAATATTTCCTAAAGTAATTTGTATTTTTTTATCATTACTGAAACTACAATGTTTGCATTTTCTTAAGAAAGTGTTTGTGAGAGCTGGAAGCTTTTAGCTCCTGCTGCTGTATCTCCCAGCTGCCACTGCTACCGCCACAATCTGTGCTGTGAATAAAAGCCGAAGGAATTGCTGAAGCAAAGCTAAAAATGGCTAAAGAAACTGGCTGATATTAATTGAAATGCATTTCAAAAATGTGGAAGCTGAAATGCAAAACTTGAACTGACAGCTCAAGTGCATTAGCAGAAGAAGCTAACAGCTGAAACATGTTCAAATGACTTAACACTGAAAGAAGAACTTAATTGTATTAATATCAGACATGAAACTCACTAGCCCCCTATTAAGATACACTTGCTGTCTGGGCATTTATTTTGAGAAACTAGGTCCAGCCCTAGTTTCCTGTTAACGTATAGTGAGCATTCAGGGTTTTTATTTAGAACTTCATCCTGAGCTTCTTATAGTTACTGTGTGCATGCATCAGTACATAATCATTTTGTGTGCCCTTGCTGTTTGGTGGAGGTGCTATTGGCATTTTGCTGTATATTTTTACATTGATTATTGTTGTGTGCTGTAGCTGACGGGGGCATACAATGACAATGCAGCAGCCTAGGTCTCAGTGTAGACATGCAGTAGTTACATACTATAAGACCAGCTATATTACACGTTTGTAGTCTGTATTTACTGTATCTTTCTATGCAGGATGAACTTGACGAAGTCGTCAACACATGGAATTCACACAACATCAGTGTCAAAATCAAGTGATGGCGCAGCCTCGGGTCGGCCTTTTGTGATGTACTCATTCCCAGAGTTGCACAGTGCTGAAGATAGACTCAAACCTATTGCCATGGAGGAGGTCACTTTGTGTATGGAAGAGTGTACTCCCAAAGGCCAGTTTCCATGCGATGAAACGGTTTTTGAACTGTATTGTCTACTAATGGAGGAACATGGATGGGATGCTCCAGCAGATCCACTTGCTGCAGCTGATCTGTACATTTTTTTAAGAGAGGAAATACAGGAAAATATTTGATGAATGGATCATGTCTGTTAGGTCTGTACTCCCACACAGTACTGTTGTAAACCTGTGTGTGTGTGTGTGTGTGTGTGTGTGTGTGTGTGTCATTGGGTGACTGAGTGGCAAAGAGCTACGTAAAGCACTTCGGATAAATTATATGTAATTGTGCAATTGTATGTATGTGCTATGTAGCCATTTACCATTTATGGGGCAATGGTTGTATAATCCAAAAGTTTTAATTTGTTAAACTGCAGGAACTCAAGATGACTGCAGCACTATCCTGACAGAACATATACAGAGAACATAACCAGTATAGAGCACAATAAAGACAAAATGTTTGTACCTAAATATCTCTTCATCAGACAAAGCCAACCCTTGTTTCGACTATCCACATTAAATAGAAAATGAAATGTGTGCAGGTACTACGACTGTGCATGTAATATAGCAAAACTCAAAATACAGTATGAGATAGAAAACTGGCAGTATAGACTACAGTAAAGAGGAACTGAATACAAACTAACAGAGGTCATGAAAGATGTAAATCTTCAACCAGTATATGACAATATAAACGTATTTATATGTAAACTTCTATATAATTATTTTGTTGCAATACTGTATGTGTTTATATTTTTTCAGCTTAATTTAACTAGCTCCCAAATAACTGTTTTCTGTAGTCACCTTTAGTCCTTGTCTCTGAAAAGGAAAAAGCTTTAATGTTTATGTGGTAGATTTATTTAATAACTGGATCTGTTTTTCTCTAAGGTATTGGCCCTCCTCTTCGCCCCACTCATCACAAAAGACATCCAGAAAGGGAGGGTCTGCTACTCCAACTTCTCAGGGACCAAAGGACCATGCCCAAAGCCATGGTGAAGATGTTGGGGTGACCTGAACTGTTTGTATTACATCGTCCCAACCAAATTATTCAGCATTGCTGTCAGTTAGCTTTTCAACAGTTGAATATTTGGGATACATCTAAGTACATGAAGACATAAAAGGATAATATGGACATCAAGTATCTCTAGAGAACTGTCTACTGCTATGGTGGAGAGAACAGTGTAATCTATCATTTGTTATTCATCAGCGTGATTATTCATGCGTATAACATACCTAAACAATTTTGAGAATGTAAGGGTGGCATGTCTGAACTCTCTGTGATTCATATGATTTGGTTCCAACCAAGCTAATATTGAAAGGTTTAGGTGAAGTTTGAAAGAAAACTACAACTACATTTTTATAAACAGGCAATAAGTGAAATATTTTTTAAGAAATACACTGATGCAAAAATGGGGACAAATGAATGTATTAAGTACTATTCTGTATGCAGTGAGGATATTTGAGGAATAAACTGTGTTCTAAAGCTTTTAAGCAGTGGAACAACTTAATTAAACATGAGAAGTATTTTGCTAAAAATGTATCAAGAAAAATATAGGCTTTCATATTCTATATATTCCTTAGAAATGTCTGACCCTCAGCAGCACCATTTTCAGGTGTTTTTTCTGCATCTTTAAATGACTTGTTGTAAATTCAGAGCCTTATTCTCACAATGACTACACAATGCAGTGTGTATTACTGTCCACACACTTCTTTCATAATTATTTTTATTGCCAGCTGATTTGTGTCCAATATGAATACTACAACATATAAAATGCTTGGTAACATTCTCAAATAAATAAATAAATAATAAATAAAACCTCATTTATCCCATCACTTTTTTTTACCTTTACCCATACAGACAGGGAGCTTCATCATTGTTCAATTCATTCAATTGAATACTGAATACAAATGTGGTGAAAGAAGAAACATTTTATTAACAATAAAAGTTTACATTAAAAACATTTCCTTGGTAATACAAATAATTAAGATGGTTAAATCTCATAACCAGATAGGCTAGTCTGTGAAGAGCACATAACCAGAATTGCTCAATTCTGTAAACTAACATTTGAATGTTAAAAGTAACATTTAACATGGCTACAAACAGAGGCTTTACTTAAGAGATTTCAACTAAAGCGATGCTAATAAGCTAAAAGTGGTCATTACATGAACAATTCTACATAATGTAGTATATAAAGATCCATTTTATTTTGATGCATAAAGTTAAATGTTTATCCTTATATCCTGTACTCTCATATAGCCTCTTTAACAAAACATCTTCTACAACAGTAACCTAATGTAAAAGATCAAGACCACTTCAGGTAAAATTAGCTATTTAACCATGGTCTGTATCACAAAATACCCTCAAGAGTCATCCATAAACAGGGTGTAGATTTAAGGCAAGTGAATGATGTGAAAGACCTGCACGCAGCTATAAAAAAAAGCTATATGCCAGACTTGCTTTTAGTAGCAAGGAAATAATTTCTGGTACTGAATTAACACAGCAGCTGAGAACCTGAGAATTAGGAACAATTATTCCTGAACAATTCCACCCCTTTGCCATTGCTGGTGTCAAATATGATGATCCACAAGGTAGGTAATAATAACACAAAATTATCAGACTGCATTGTATAGTGCCTGTGCAATAATAATCAGTAAAAAAAGTCCAAAATTGAAAGAGAACACATCAGATTTGCTGAAAACAACAATACCTGCAATTCTGGATTTGTATGACTTATTAACCCCACTTCAGATTTTTTCTTTAGTAACAAATACTTGCAAGGGTCTGAACTTCAAAGAGAATTTGTTGAAGATGTGGTCTGTTCAGAAGGAAGAACCAGTCCAACATGAGATCATGACCAATGACTGCAGACTGGCATTTTTGGTGTCACACATCTTTTACCTGGGTGGTACATCATTTTGCAACTTATAAAAATTAATAAAAGTGCAAAAACACAGTTTCATCATATTCTATAGCTGACTGCACACAACAGTGATGATGCATGCCATAGTCCATGCTGCTGTTGGAATGTAAGCCCTCAACCTCAATGTGTTGTGCAGCTTGAGAACTTGAATCTGTCAGAGATGGATCTGGCATTGGTAACAGACAGTATACCAGTTTGTTATAGTTTGTGAATGCACCACTAAAACACATGAAACAAGGGATAATAGCACTATAGTTTTTGTAACCAAGGCTGAGCTTTCTTAAAGTGCTTATAGTAGGTCCTAAATATATATTGCTCAACATTCCTTGCAATTTTGTCCATGCATTTCTACATAATTGCATCAAACGTGAAAAACTCTTAACAGTGGATTGTTGTGGTAATGGTTGTGTCAATCTAAACAATGTCCATTACCCAGACATTGCTTTCAAGAACTGCATTAAATTCTGAACGGAAATCTGGGAAGTTCTCATAGCTGTCAGCTATGTGCAGAATCTTCCCACGTGTGCCCAATTGGTCTTCTCGTGAACTCTGTCATTTCTTCAAATTCCACATAGATGCTGTCTGTAACTATGAGATCAGATCCAGTGCAGAACCGCAGAAATTTCTGAAGTTTACCTTCATCTAGCTCTCTGATGAATCTTTTCAGATGATTTCCGACTTCCTTCTGTTTTGGAGTCAAATTGATGTCAAATTTCAGCAGTTTGCAGACCTTTTTTGTGGTTGGTTGCAGGTCAGAGAACAACTTGGTCAGTGCCTCTGGACTGAGGGAGAGATGAGGATGGGTGATTTCCCTCCAGCAGTCAATAACAAACATGGGTTTTTGGACCAGTTCTTTGTGTGATATTTCATCAATTATTGTAGGAAGAGTCTCCGCTGTGATTTTCCTTCTACAGCCATAGCCGTCAAGAACTTCCACAAGATCATCAGAGTCAACTGCAGAGAAATCAGTCATTGCTTCCATCAGAACCTCACGTTCTTGGCTGCTCACAAACTGCAGAAAATGTGCTTTAAGATCACTGTACACACTGTTGAAAAGCACCTGTTCAAGGAAGGGGAGTGCCAGTTTGTTTGGCAAATACTGACAATCTTGGTAACCTTTCAAAAGGATTCTGCCAATTGCCTTCCATGTTTCAGCAGGGAAATCATGGCGAATGAAGGGCACTTTAACTGTTGTACCAAGTGTGCATCGATCGTAGAATTCATGCCAGAAACAGCTGAGAACATCTCTCAGTACCCCAGATCCACTTCCTGCTTCTTCTTTGTTGTCTGGAAGTTTGCGTCTCACATTCAGTGCTTTGTTCAAAATCTCTGCATCAGAGAAAGCTGTAATCATGTCATGTAAAGTGTTAGCATGATGTATGGTGATTGTTATCACTTCTTCTGGATGAGCTGGACTGGGGGGTGTAGAAAAACCCTCATAGATCAAAGTGTCATCTGTGTCTTCTTCAACACTGTAGAGGGGACCAAAGGTAATTGAGTCAACAGACATATCTAGAGAACGCTGGACTCCATCAAAATCACCCATGACATATTCCACTTGTAGTTCTGCTGTATTGATTTCATTTCCACTGTGTGCTGAGACAAGAATCACTTCAGATGTCTCGCTGGTATCATCAAGTTCTTTTTGCTTTGTTGCAATGTAAAAGCGTAACATTGTCAGCCTTGACGTCTCATACATAGTGCCAATGGACATCAGTGAGGTGGTTCTGTTTGAAGTCCCACACCTCAAACTCGAAATCTGATTCTGATCCTTTAGGAGATATTCCATCAGGAAAGAAAAGTTTCTTTCCTTCTTGAAGGATGTCTTTTAATCCAGCATTAATTGCCAATTTAACTTTTCTGGTGCCACCTCCCTGCTTTGCCCTCACCTGTCTGGCTACATTACCATCACTGTGAATCCATCCTATCTCTACATTTCGGGTTGTTTTAAGCTTCTTTGTCTGTGTTGATCTTGTGTCTGCATCTGATACGTTTTCCTTGGTGCCTTCCTTTCTGACTTTCATTTTCTCACGAAGTTTTTCCAAAAGTCCTTGTTTTCGCTTTGAGATGGGCTTTTTAGAGGGCAATTCGGTCTCCATAGGAGGGGATGTAATTTGCCAGCGCTGCATCATCCATCAGCGCGACAACGTTGCTGTCAATCTGCACAGAAGAAAAAAAGAAAATACAATGTATAAATAATGTTAAGGTTATGCCCCTTAAATCAGTAAAAGTAAAAAAACAAAAATTTAATCTCAGTTCAGGATGTAAGTTTAATATGCGTTTCTGCTACCATAGAAGGCTGGTAAAGTAGTTTAATAGTTGTTGTTTTTTGTCTGTTTTAACTGTGTTTATTGTTGATTTACGACCGGGAGTCCGCACAGGGTGTTTTATTTTGAAAATTGACCGGATTCTCTATGCCGTTCTGTGTCAGACTTCCTGTCCGGTTCATCTGCTCTGTGCTGCTTGACGAAGCTTCCGTCATAAATAGAGATGCAGCCAAGCGTGTATCTCCGTGAAACGGCGGAGCGCTAAGAACTTCCTTGCTGGAGTTGTACAGTCTTAAGGAAAAACACACATTAAAACACCCAATAGCTTCAGTAACACGTTATTTTCACCTGTCGCTGTCCGCTTTGTGTGTGAGGAGCTGCCCTCGGACACAGTGAGCAGACAGGAGGACAGAAGCAGCGCGACTGGCTGAAATGTTGCCGCGTCCATTCTTTTGTCAACAAACACAGACAACAAGAGTCACTAGTCACTGACTACAGATGCTCTCACTCGGTCTTCGAAGGCAGTTTAAAACATGATAATATAACCAAAATGTCAACAACACAAAAAACAGCCAATATTCTTGTTAGCTACCATATTAGCTATCAAAACATGCTAACTCGTCCCTGCATTACACATCCTTCATCCCCTTGAATTTCCTTTGTTTTTACAAACGCCATGCAACAAACTAACACATATTTCATTTTTACTCACCTTTTGTTCTTCCAGTAATGAAATGGCTTCATCTGGGACCCCTCGAACACGCAAAAACTCACTTAAATCCGACATCTTCGGTCAGTGTGTGGTTCCCGGGCCAATTTACATCATGCAAGTGATTCTCTCACATGGGACCTTTACAGGTACCCATACTTCTGACTTTAAACTCAGAATTTAAAAAAAAAAATTCACACGTGGCCCTAATCCTCTTCCGCATTTGTCTCTTTACATCGTGTTAGTTGAGAGTTTTGTCTGTTGTGGTTGTGTTTGTTGGTGGCGGTGCTTCCAGCCTGGCTGGGCAGCATGCCCGTTGTAGATGTGGAAGTGGATTTTGTGAAGCTGACACGCCGACATGCAGTGAAGTTGGTGCCGGCTGTCAGCTGCTCGGTGGAGGAGGCGAGTTTAGCGGTGGGAGAGGTGGTGGGTTATGGCAGCATTAAGTCTGCCTCCCGCATGAACGGAGCCATTGTGGTGTTTTTAGATCATACTGACAAAGTAAACGATGTGGTAGAAAAAGGGGTAATTATTAAAGATACTTTTACCCCGGTTCTCCCTCTGGTTAACCCTGCCAGGAAAGTTACCATCTCCAACGCTCCCCCGTTCTTAAAAAATGACTTATTGTTAAAAGAGCTATCCAGGTATGGACAGGTGATGTCCCCCATCAAGATGGTGTCCCTGGGCTGTAAGTCTCCATTGTTAAAACACGTTGTTTGTCACAGAAGACAGGTTTTCATGGTGCTAAAGAACAACTCGGCAGAAATTAATTTATCTTTTAATTTCAATGTGGACGGATTTAATTACATGGTGTTTGCAACTTCGGAAACCATGAAATGTTTTGGCTGTGGTGCAGAGGGCCATCTAATTCGCTCATGCCCGAAAAACATTTTAAAAGAGCAGGGAAATGTTGCAGCGGCGTCGGCCGCTGCCGCGGTGCCCAGCGCGGCTACCGCTGGCGCGGCTGGCGGGGCTGCGGAAGCTGCCGCGGTGCCTGGCGGGGCTCCCACTACTGGCGGTGCGGCCTTTTCTCCCGATACCGGTGGCGAGGCCCCCGGTACCGATGGGACTGCGGCACCTGACGCGGTGCCCGGCGTAGCTGCGGCTGATGCGGCCGCGTTGGAGGATCCCGGTAGATGTTCCTTGGCCAAGGAAGTCGCTGAGTGATTGTCTGATAATAAAATCATGTCCAGTGTGTCTAATGGTGAACTGCAAGAAAGAGAAAGCGGACAGGGAGACACATAACTGAACATTGACCAGGGAGAAAATGAGAACAACAGTGAACAGGTGTATAACAGTCAGTTGAATGAATGTTCTCAGAGCAGCAATATTTCAGTGTGTTCTGACTTTATTGAGGATGAAGATATATCTGATGAGGATCTAATGAAAATCGCACAGAAGAGAAAGAGCACAGAAAGTGTTCAGAGCAGAGCTAAAGTTGCCAAAGGAAAGAAAGACAGAAAAACACGCTCATTAGAAAACAGTGATTTCACACAAGAGGAGGGGAGCAGCAGCTACACTTTAGCTCAAATACAAAAGTTCCTTCAGGACACTAAGGGTCTCAGGCTGTTGAAGGTTGAGAACTTTTTCCCAGACCTGAAACTGTTTGTCAGTTCAGCTCAACCTCTTACCAGAGCTTCAGGAGGTTTTGGTGATGAAGGCCTCACAGAGCAGGAGATATATCGCCTCAGAAAGCTGATCATTAAGGTGAAAGCTCAAATTATTGGTGATGATGTTTAAACAGCCTCTTCTCTTCTTTTTCTTCCTGAAATGTTTGTTTTGTGTTTCTTTATTATTTTTCTCTCTCTCCATGGGTCACTTTAAAATTGGCACTTTAAATCTAAATGGAGCGAGGGACGACACAAAGAGAGCTGCCCTTTTTAAACTCGTGGAGTTTAAGCAGCTAGACGTACTGATGGTTCAGGAAACACACAGTAACTCTGAAAATGAGAGTCAGTGGAAGAAAGAGTGGCCAGGGCAGGTTGTTCTGAGCCATCAGTCCAGCTGCAGTGGAGGGGTTGGGCTTTTCTTCTCCAGAGGTTTCCTGCCTGCATCTTGTGAGGTGGAGGAAGTGATTGAAGGCTGTCTACTGAAGGTTAAAGTTCAGTATGAGAATATAAAGATGAATTTGATAAATGTCTATGTCCCATGTAATGCTGCGGAAAGGCTGCACGTGCTGAGTGTTTTAAGCAATACTGTCAGAAAATGCAGTAGTGATGAGTTTTTATTCTTGGGAGGTGATTTTAACTGTACAGAGAATCCACAGCTGGACAGGAATCACCAGGAGCCTCACAGGCCCTCCTCACAGAGCCTACAACAGCTCATAGAAACACACGAGCTGCTGGAGCTTTAATAAAAGTCAGAGACAGTACACATGGAGTCACTGCAAAGAGAATGTTTTATCTCAGGCTAGATTAGATCGGTTTTACTGTTTCAAGCATCACATCAATGTCTTTAAAGGTTGTTTTATTAACCCTGTGGGTTTTACTGATCACTGTCTTGTTTATTGTTCTGTTTTTATTAAAAACATCAGATTGAGCAGTGCTTGTTGGCATTTTAATACTGCACTGTTCCATGACAAAGCCTTTAAGTCTGTTTTTGAGTTTTTCTGGCTCACTCACAGAGAAACTAAGGCTGATTTCAAATGTATTCAGCAGTGGTGGGACTTTGGAAAAAGCCAGATTAAACAGCTGTGTCAGCAGTACACTCGCAATGTCACCAGGGACATTATCAGATCTTTGAAGGATCTGGAGATTGAAGTGGTAGAACTACAGGGTCTAGTAGGGGCCACAGGAAATCAGGGACACTTAGATTCCCTAAAATCTAAAAAGTTGGCCTTGGCCAGCCTGCTGGGTGTGACAGCTCAGGGGGCTCTGGTGAGGTCTCGGTTCCTGGACACCACACAGATGGACGCCCCGTCACACTTCTTCTTTGGTTTGGAGAAGAAAAACGGGCAAGAGAAAGATCTTTCACTCCATTCGATCCAGAGACGGAGTTTGCGTCTCTGATTCCTCTGAGATCAGAAAGCACGCAGCCAGTTTCTATAAAGAACTGTACAGGAGCGAGCTGACAGACCATCCAGAGGTAGAAGAGCTCTTCTATGCTGATCTTCCTCAGGTCAGTGATGAGCACAATGTAGAGCTGGAAGCTCAGCTGTCTCTACCTGAACTGTATCGTGCTGTGATGAGTCTGCAGAGTGGTCGAGCTCCGGGGATTGACAGCCTTCCTGTGGAGTTTTACAAGTCTTTCTGGTGTGTGCTGGGACAGGATCTGCTGGAAGTGCTTGGAGACAGTTTGGAAACGGGTCGTCTGCCTCTGAGCTGCAGGAGGGCAGTGATCACTCTGCTGCCAAAGAAGGGTGATTTGCAGGAGCTGAAAAACTGGAGGCCTGTGTCGCTACTCTGCTCGGACTACAAAATTCTGTCTAAAGTCCTGGCTTCCAGACTCAGACAGGTGATGGGGTCTGTCATTCACATTGACCAGACCTACTGTGTACCCAGTAGGTTTATCAGTGACAATATCACTCTGATTCGAGATGTTTTGGAAGTCTCTAGTTCATTGGCTGTACTGGTCTGATTTCAATGGACCAGGAAAAGGCTTTTGATCGGGTTGAACACCAGTATCTGTGGCGGACTCTGACTGCCTTTGCTTTCAACCCACGTTTCATAGCCAAGATCCAGATTTTGTACTGTGACATTGCGAGTGTTCTGAAGATAAATGGAGGCCTGAGCGCTCCCTTTTGTGTACAGAGGGGGGTGAGGCAGGGCTGCTCTCTGTCTGGCATGTTATATTCTCTGGCCATTGAACCTCTGCTTCACAGACTAAGGTCTGCTCTCTCTGGTGTCTGTTTTCCTAAATGTGACATTCTTTTCAAACTGTCTGCATATGCAGATGATATCATCGTTCTGGTGAATAAGCAGAGAGATATTGATGTGTTGGGAGAAACCTTAAATCTGTATGGCCTGATATCATCTGCTAAAGTGAACTGGGTGAAGAGTGAGGCTGTGATGGTGGGAGAGAGGCTGAAGAGTCAGCTCAGTCTGCCTGGAGGCCTCTTCTGGAAAACAGGAGGGCTGAAATATTTAGGGGTGTTTCTGGGAAACGAAGCATCTTTGAAGAAAAACTGGGATGGAGTTTTGGAGAAGGTCAAAGGTCGCCTGAACAAGTGGAAATGGTTGCTGCCTAAAATGTCTTTTAAAGGTCGGGTTTTGGTTGCAAATAATTTGGTTTCTTCGGCTCTGTGGCACCGTTTGGCCTGTGTTGACCCTCCACCCTCTCTCCTACCAAATATACAAAGAATATTAGTGGATTTTTTCTGGGACAAGTTACACTGGATTCCTCAGAGCATGCCTTTCCTTACAAAAGAGGAAGGAGGGCAGGGCCTGGTCCACTTGGCCAGCAGGGGGGCTACTTTCCGCTTGCAGTTTGTCCAGAGACTCCTCACTGGGCCTGCAGACCTGGTGTGGAGGCCACTGTCCTACTATATTCTGCAGCAGTTTGGTGGACTGGGACTGAGCTTGTCTCTGTTTTTAATGAACTTAAAAGGTGTGTGCATGTCCTCTCTGCCTGGGTTTTACCAAAGTGTTTTTAAAGTATGGATGTTGATGAACAGAGACAGGGACACTCTGACTCCTTGTATTGGCTGCTTAAGGAGCCTGTTCTGTTTGGAGGACGTCTGGACTGTCTTGGGGGGTTTTCACCCACTCTGTTTGACAAGCTCCGCACTGCCAGGATCTCCACGCTGGGGCAGGTGGAGGAGCTGACCGGACCTCGGTTGGACCGTCCTGCTGGTCTGGCGGTTCGTCTGGGGCTGAGGTCGAGCCGCTATGTCAGTCTGTTATTGAGACACTGGAGACATCAGCTGACGGGACACGAGGTCTCTCTCCTGATGGACTATAGAGACGGCTCTCTGCTGCCGGACGACACTGACCCATATCCTTTTACCACTCTGTCTCCTGACTTGACCGATGTTTCGGGACCTTTACTGGTCAACTCTGCTGGGGTGTCTCTGAGTGATGCCACAGGAAAGACACTGTACAGACTGTTGGTAAAAACGCTCAACAAAAAGACACTTAATGGACGTAGCGACACCCCCTGGAGGACTCATTTGGGTTTAAGCCCTGATTTTCGACCTGCCTGTAGGTCTCTGTATAAACCCCCCCTGACAAAGAGACATGCAGACCTACAGTGGAGAATCCTTCATGGAATACTGGCTGTAAACTCTTTTGTGTCTGTGCTGAATGGGAATGTACAGGACCATTGTC